TACGGGCGCGAGCGACTCAAACGCTGCTGTGTTTCGTATGGTGAGTGTAGAGAACCGGAGATCCTTTTTACTGGAAACGAGGCATTCCATATTAGTCCTCAGGGGTTGCAACGCATCTGCATTTTGATTCTTAATCGAGGATAGACGTAACTGTCTATCGCCCACAGCAACCACTTACCATAAGGTGGACTGTGTGCTGGTTTGTCAACCTGATCCTATAAAGAAAATCTCAAAGTCAGTTATTTCATACAAAATTTCGTACAAACTTGTTCAAAATGTATGAAGGACCTAATTTTTCTTACAATTACGAAGATAGATCTATAGTAAAACTTGTTCATATTGACGCGTAGAATAGAAATAGAAAGCACTATTTTGATTACACCATATATGTAACTATTTTTAAGTAATTTGTGAATATTAGTTAGACATGTAAATAAAAAAATTAAACTGATAAAAATGAGGCCTTATCATTCATATGTCATTTATTCAGAAGAAAAACCTATATATAATATGCACAAATATATTGATACATTCGTTATTAATAAATTATTCATTTTTAAGTATTTCTGGAATACATTCACAACTATGAACTTAACTACTAAGCCATAGCATAAAATAAATTTTCCCGTTAATCGGGTAATAGCTGCTGGTATATGCAATTTTTCACGCACACTAGCATCCTTGCAAATTTTCTATACACACTACAATATTGAGTTGCCGCATTCACGGAGCTGTTACTATCAGGTAGCGCGGTATCTAGTCAGAGCGCGATGACTTATCAATAATCTAAGGAAAAATTTTTCACATCAATAGTAGATATTAATCCTTCATTGTAGTAAAAAATTGCAAGTAATGCAAAGAAAAAGCAAAGATTGGGTGGAAATAAATCAACGCAACCACACGGAAATTTATCACTAAATCCATAAATCAGTAATATCACTTATACAATTATTACAATGAATGAATCAGTGACAAAACAAAATGAAAACAAACAATATGGCTGTGACGGCTTCCAATATCTATGCTTGCAATCGAGCCTAGAAAGGATGTTGAGAGGCGAGGGGGCATGTTATCTATCTTATATCATTTTGATATATGACAGCTTACATCCCTATTTTGATATATGTCATATATCATATGACATTTCCTAGGTCCAATATTTTTTCTATGAAGATTATTGCCCGTGAACGCATGTATACTAATCGAAAGGACGTTGCGGCGGCTTGATCAACGGGCCGTATTTTGAAAATCGAAAACTTATTATTTCATTTATTTTTTATCTCGAAAAAACATTTTGCTGAGAATCTAGTGATTCTCAGTTGACGTAATTGTCGTTCTACAATTATTTAAACTTTTGCACGCCTCATAACGCGAAGCATTATCGGTGTGTTCTACTCTCGACACGTCAAGGTTAAGCAGTTTTATGTTCTTAAAATGCCTCTATCGTAACCATATTGCATTTATACGGACATAGGAGTAGCCATATCAAGAAAACACTCTAATTTATTCATCTTATATTTTCTAAAAAATCATTTTATATTGCTTTTATGAAAAAAAAAAAACGATTTGATAAAAAATTACGCGGGCGTCCGGAAGGTGAATAAATTTTTTCTGGATTTGTCGTGACCTGTATGTGGTCACCATAACTCCCGAAAAAATTGACGTATCGAGACTGGTTTTTTTTTATAAACTTCAGAATTACATCAACAGGTTTCTTATTTCATATCAATAGTCTAGTATGCGTAGTTTGTTAATAAAATGATTATTAACTTTTATAAGTTTTATTTCTATTAAAAATTTAATTGCTCTCTCATATATTTTTTAACACTAAATAATATATTTTAAAAGTCAGGAATAATTTAATTTTTTATCAATATTAAATGAAACGCTCATGAGGTGTGCACTTTTGGATTTTCAAAACTATTTTATTTCATGACCCTCTTAGGCTTCGAAGAATACTCATCTTCACCATGCTAGGCAGGCAGGTTGGCAAGCTGAATTCCGATATCCTCACTCTGATAATTCAGCGCCTTACTAGTTCCTCCACTAGTATGTAGGTAGCTTATAGCTGCATAGCTTTCTGTTGGTAGTAAGAGCATCGTCAGAGTTTTGGCGGGAACTTGACCGGTAAGGATTGTTGCTCCTGTTTTGTCGTTTAATGATTTGAAATGGGTTTTGATACATATAAGAGATGCTTTTGTGTATTAAGCGTCTGTATAAGTGAACAAGCACGTGAACCATTAGTGGAAACGACGAAAGAAGTGCTCCGATGTTCATATAAACATCAAAAATTTTTTGTGCGGTTTGGAACCTTAAGAACTTGAGATACTACCGGCATCGACTATCCATTGGGTGTAGCTGTCGTCATAATCTCCCATGAACTTCACAATGTGATGCATTGACAAGTTTTGAAGTTTTGAAATAAAATATTATAAAGGATTATTTCTTATTACTTCACACTGACAATAGTAAAATCGTACAAGTTCATATCCAAAGAAAAAAAAGAGCATTGTCAATTATTTAATTGGGTTTTCATGGAGATTGATATTTGGAGAAACTGCCATATATTCGCCTTATATCCGATAACATTTATCCTTATACTACATAAATACTATTCATTGTATCTATTTTCTGAGAAACGCGGTGAAAGCTTTTGCTTTGTTAATCTCTTAAAACAACTTTAAGGAATATTTTGTCAGCAATTAGAATCGAAAAGCTTGACTCCGGCGTTCTTTTTATTGTTTACATTTGCTAATGGAAAAGGAGGTCTCTTAAATTTGCAGATAGAATAAAAAATATTTTACTTTGAACGTAGTTAAATAATATTTTTAGTCTGTTGAAATTACGTCGTACCGAATTGAATGTTATATGACAAAAGAAAAAAAAACTAGTCACGGGTAGTATAGCGTAGAGTAGTATTTTGCAGTAGCTATTACAAAATACTTCATAATGTAAATTCGGTTACTAACATGTTTGCAAATACTGTTTTTTTCTTTTCCGATGAGTAGTGTATTATATAATCCAAACAAGTATACAAGCGGTACTCTTTGTACTGGAAATATATGATTAGTATGCATTGTTAGGACTTCTTTCGAAATATTCCTAAAACATAATTAAATAGTTTGTAGCGTAATAATTTTAGAGTAAATCATTAAGTAAAGAAAATCTCGATCCGACAGTACAATAGCACCTATAAACGATATACTGACGATAGCACTGGCGATGTTTTATATCCCGGCCGTAATAATATTTCTAGGGAACATTGACTTTTGCGAGTTGCGGAACAAACTTCTACCTGAAATCGAGTCTTTGTTATACAAAATATCAGACTAAATCTAAATTTAGTTCAGATTAACCCTCAGAAAATAAAGGCTTGCACTTTTATCGATTAAAGGAACTCTTTGGTCATATCTCCTCAATTACAGGTCACTCCCTTTACAGGTACAGCTAGCATCGGAATCCTCGGCGTCGAGACATCAAATGACGTTCAGTAGTCCGCATTTAGTAAGGAAGGAAAGTCCAAATTGGCTTCTAAAAAGCTAGGCATGCTCAGTTCATTAAGAGAAATTTCGGCCCCACATGGACAACTGTTTTCATCTCTGATCTGGGACACCTTAGTACCAGCACCGACGCATCTAACGAAAAGCAACCTCAATCGTCAACGACCCAGTTCTTTCTTTACGGCATGACCCACTGACGCTGCGAAAAGATGATGCATGCCTTTGCATATTTTATCGCGCCTACCACCGGGAGTGCTCAGAGGAACTCGAGCCATCGCAAATCTTGACACAATTCGCAACACCATTTAAGAAATTTGGATGATTGGTGGTCCACACAGAATTTTTCTTCATTGCACAACTTATTTGCAGGATCGGTTATTCCCTGGGTGTTGCAGTTGTTCGTGGGCGACGGTAGTCACTTACCAGTTGAGTCCGGCGGGGAGAAGTCGGAAAAAAGGAGACAAACGAGCATGTTGTTTTTTTAATAGAATAAGGGTGACAAACGAGCACACAGTTCACCTGATTGTAAGTAAATCCTGTGGCCCATAGACATCTACACATATTTTCAATTAAAAATAAAATGGATGGATGCGTTGTTACCCCTGAGGACTGACATGTAATGCCTCGTTTCCAGTAAAAAGAGTCTCCGGTTATCTATACTCAGCATACGAAACACAGCAGTATTAAGCTACTATTTAACGCCAGTATTCTTTGATAGCGTGGTCTTACCCCAGTCGAGCCGACCCGTCTGTGCTACAACCGTAATAGCTATAGCTTGGCTCTACTACTTTGTCTCTTCTTCTATAAAAATAAATATACTAACAGCATGAACGGCTGCACTTATCAAGGATTAGTGCATTGAACTTAGGTTTCATTTCAAAATATACGTCTCATATAAAAAAATAAGTTATTTTTGTTAAATAAATCTTATTATGTTGTTTAGTTCAAACGAACGTTTACGTCAACTGCGATAACGATTCACAGTGCCAAGGCAATCATACGTGAAATAGTCACGTCGCTTGCGTAGCTTGATTAAAGCCCACATGACAAATATATCTGATGAAATGACGTGTGGGATTTTCATAGGTTATTTAGTAGGGCGAAAATATGAATTTTGCACGGATTTATAATAAATTCTCCGTAATACACGTTCATGAAATGTAGACATTTATTTTTTACCACGTTTTTTATTAACTCGCTTTCTTGTATGTTCAGTACGAATTTTGCATTAGAATTTAAAGTACCTTCCCGATGATTTATGACTTGAAATTTGAAACAGAACTGGAAACGTATTAAAAAAATAGTTACCATTTTTAAATTTTTGGAAGTTACAGTCCCCAACGCAAAAGTCGAGTATATATAATTAAGCTAGCTTATGTATTAAGAGGAGGCCTATGTTCAGCAGTGGACTTTGTCATCGTCATCGTCATCTCATCGTCATCGTCATCGACACTGTCATTCGTCATCGTCATCGTCTTCGTCATCGTCACCGTCATCTACATCATCATCATCTTCGTCATTGTCATTGTCGTTGTCATTGTCACTGTCATCGTCATTGTCATTGTCGTCGTCATTGTCATTGTCGTCGTCATCGTCGTTGTCATCGTCATAGTCATCCTCATAGTCATCGTTATCGTCATCGTCTAACTCCGCCATTGCCGTTCCCAAGCCCGGATGAGAAAGGAGGAGGGGACGGTTCCGCTGGAGAGAGTTCCACCGGAACAAATTTGTGTCTGAAGTCGAGTCTTTGCTGAACAAAGTCTCGGATTGGGGGTGACTAAATCTAGTCCAGTTTAATCCTCAGAAGACACAAGTTTGCGCGTTTACCGCTAAAAAGAAGCCCTTTGTCGTATCTCCTCAGTTTCAAGGCACTCCCCTTCTTGCCTCAGCCAGTATCGGTATCCTCGGAGTCGACATAACGAGTGACGTGCAGTTTCGTGGTCACTTGGAAGAGAAGGCCAAATTGGCCTCTAAAAAGCTTGGCGTGCTCAGCAGAGCGGGACAGTATTTCACACACCACCTGCAAATTTACAAGGCGCAGGTTCGGCCTCACATGGAATACTGTTCCCATCTCTGGGCAGGGGCTCCCCAGTGCCAGCTCCTTCCACTTGACCGCATCCAGCACAGAGCGGCTCGAATCGTCGACGACCGAGCCCTTTCCAATCGGCTCGATTCATTGGCACTGCGAAGAGATGTTGCATCCCTTTGCATTTTCTTTCGCATCTACCATGTGGAGTGCTCTGAGGAATTGTTCGGATTAATCCCAGCCGCCAAATTTCACGAACGCACATTGCGGCAGAACTCCCGATACCATCCACACCATCTGGATGATTGGCGGTCCACCACTGTGCGATTTAGAAGATGTTTTCTTCCTCGCACGACTTCCTTGTGGAATCGATTACCATCAGCAATTTTTCCGGACCGATACGACTTAGGGACCTTCAAGAAAAGAGCGTACTCCTTTTTAAAAGGCCGGCAACGGATCTGCAATTCCCTCCCTGGTGTTGCAGTTGTTCATGGGCGGCGGTAGTCACTTACCATCAGGTAAGCCGCGTGCTCGTTTGCCCCCTACCCTATAAAAAAAAAGAGAGTGGGTGTATCCGGTGGACTAACACACCCACCTACGCTAGGACTTGCGCAGTCAAGTGCCGTACGCGGGGATGAAGGAGTCCTGGAGGGTTGAGCCGATCGTCGCTGAACACACCCTGTTTGGTCTGGATTTCAAACTAAACGGTGGCCCTATCTGCTAGCCACAGATAGGGAAATGGCCAAGCGCCCCGTCAGAGGGTCGCAGGCGAGGGATGTGGGGGCTGCCTAGTTTTTGTGAAAAGGGGCTGGGTGGTGGTAAAGGCCATGCTGACGGAGCAAGTGACAGTTTATTCGGGTAGTGGGGATGGGCCTTGTCAGCCCCATCTAACAGCTGGATCGAGTTCTCGATGTCGCGCTGTGAGGCAACTTCGCGTCCCTATATTCTCCCGGTAATCCTAATTCCTGAAATTCTTTTTTAAAGTAGGGCGTTCCCAAAGGTGCGGGCTCCATGGAGAGTGGGAAGCCGGGAGAACAAATTTTTATAACAAAACTAATGGACAATTTAAGGCCCAATAAGAAAGAGGGAGAGGTGTCAGAGGTGTTTACCAGAGACACTATAGAACAAGGGGGAACCGCCATTAAACCGACGGTTCCACGGATAGTACCGTCCAGCGTAGGTGGCCCCACCAAGGGGACAACTTCCGCTGTTGTTGTTTCGCTGAACGTTTTCAAAACCAGTTCCAAACCTGAGGAGCTGGACAAGAAAAAGGAGCAAAAGCCCGCGAGTAACAAAACTCCTGTGGAGCCTCATAGAACGGACGACCTTTTCTCTGCTGCCTGGCAAGTGGTGAGCCGTAAGGGGAAAGGCAAGGTACCCAAAAAGGTGACTTGCCGACCTGACGAACCATCAGAAGGGTCTATCCCTGCAGGCAGTATAGGAAAAGCCAAAAAGAAGAATAAGAAGCAGCGGGAAAAGGCCGAAGAGAACGAGCCGCGCTGGCTGCTTCTAAAACTAAAAACAGGGAAGCTGGGCAAGCTACTGCGACTGGGGTGCTTGGTGCTAGAACCAGTAGCCGCGCTGAAGCTGGGAAGGATTAAAATCCAGCACAAGTGGAAGTCGTGGCCGCGGGACCCAGCTCTAAGATATCCGCCAGGAAGCAGCGAGCGGCCAAGCGTCCTGGGAAGAAGGAAAGAGCAGCTAAAAGGATGCTGGAAGAGTCCATCTCGCCGAGAGGAGAGCACCAAAAATTGCGACTCCAATAGCAACCAAAGGCTGCAAGAACAAGCTACGCTTCCGCTGCTTAAGCAGATTTGGGTGTGGCCTTAACAAGTGCGCGTTCAGGTCACATTACGAAGGAAGTAGCAGACGACATCCTCGTGGCAATACAGAGGAAAATGATCAGTGAGGCCTGGAGTAGCCAGGACCCAGATGCATCGGGCCCAGTTTTTAGAGGCAAACCCGTTTACACGGAGGGTGTCCTGAAACTGTGGTGCGGCGATCAGAAGGCTCTGGATTAGTTGAAGGGCAATATTGCTATCCTCGACCTTAAATCCAACACCTCGCTGACTCGGAGATACCACAAAGAGTCAAATGTGGTATCCTTATCTTTGATGCCCAGGGAGCCTGCCATGTGTATGCGAGGCGGTTTACGTAAAATTCCAGGGTCGTGGAGGTAAATTCTTTGACACTCCACCAAGCAAAGAGGCAGAAAATAACCCGGAAGTTATAGATACCAGAGACATGGTTACCTGTACAGCGGAATCACTGGAGGCCAAGTCCAGTGAAAAAACGGCCTGCACAATTGAGCCAAAGCCCCTAGTGGAGATCGGGCTCAGCGGCAGCTCACTGAGTGACGAGGAGGGCTGCATTTTGCCGACCACTTCCGACTCGATGGCTGACGATGATACCCGAGATCTACTGGCAAGCTTATTTTTGGGCGGGGACGGAGAGGACGCGATCAATGAACTGGACCGAATGAACGAGGTAAGGTGTTAGTTAAATATTTATTTAGCACTAACCTAACCGTTTTAAACACAGGTTCTGAACCAACTTTCATAAACAAACGCTGTCGCACAGTAATCGACCTCACACTTGCAACACAAGGAGCAGCTAAACTAATAACGGGATGGCATATGTCGAGAGAGGCCTCATGCTCAGATCATAGATGGATCTGCTTCGGACTACAGGTCGATATCCCCGCTACACCACCATGGATAAATCCCCGCAAGACGGATAAAACAAAATACCTTAATAAGTTGACGTCTTTGCTTGTGGGTTTTGAGGGGACAAATACTATAGCAGATCAGTCGATCCTAGAATAACAGGTAGCAGCTGTTACTAAAGCCGTGATAGATAGCTACCATGAATCATGTCCAGAAATCACTCCACCAAGGCATGCTGAGGTAAAGCAACCGTAATGGGGTAAAGAACTAGATAGAAAACGTAAGAAGGTAAAAAAAACCCTAAATAGGGCCATGAATACCTCAATGGATGAAGACTGGTTACTATACAAGAAAGCTAAGTCCGAATACAAAAAATGTATCAGATATCGACGCTCGACAGGTTGGCGTAAATTCTGTGGCAACATAGACTGGAATTTAGCACAGAGAGTGGTAACGATGGACAAAATCCATTGGGCCATTTACAGTTTCCTCTCCTATAAGGCGGCAGGACCTGACGGCATATTCCCGGCACTCCTACAGTGGGAGGGGGGGGGGGGTAAAGCTCTAATAGTCACACTTGTTGCCATAATGAGAGCCTGTCTGGCTCTTAATTGTGTTCCTAGGGGATGGAGGGAAGTGAAAGTCACATTCATACCAAAACCAGGTAAGAGCGACTACACAGACCCTAAATCCTATAGGCCCATTAGCTTCACATCCTTTCTCCTAAAGACGATGGAGAGGATGTGTGAAAGGGAATTAAGGGGGTCGGCGCTAATGAACTTACCACTACACGACAAGCAACACGCCTACAGTCTAGGCAAATCAACAGAATCGGCACTTCACCAGGTAATAACAAAGATTGAAGAGGGCATCCAAAACAAAGAAATATGTCTAGGTTCCTTCTTTGATATAGAAGGTGCTTTTGATAGAATGAACTTCTACAGCATTAAAGGTGCACTCAGTAGACATAAAGTTGAACCGGCACTGATTGACTGGATAGTAAACATGCTGAGTACACGAATAATATAGATTGCTGGTGAATCTCAACCAACCCAAATTAAGAAAGGGTGGGATTCTCTCACCTCTCCTGTGGAATATGGTCGTTAATGAACTCATCAGCAAATTAAATGACAATCACTTCTAGACAGTAGGTTATGCTAGTGACCTGACAATACTCATCTCTGGAAAGATAGCAAGCATAGTGTGCGACCTGACCCAAGTGGCTCTCCGTATAGTGGAGAGATGGTGCAGAGAATACGACTTAACCGTCAATCCAAATAAAACGGTTCTAGTAATGTTCACACAGAAACGAATGCTGAATAACTATCATCTCTCAAGTCTTTTCAGCACAAAACTCCAGTTATCCTCTGAGGTAAAATATTTAGGTCTTACATTGCACAACAAACTTAACTGGAATAAACACATAGAAAACAAAATCAACAAAGCTAGTATAACTTTCTGGCAATGCAGAAACATGATTGGCAAAAGATGGGGACTGACACCAAAAATCATATTGTGGCTGTACAAAACTGTAATTCGGCCCATGATCACATACGGCACTCTGGTATTGTGAACCAAGACAAATGAAGCCACCACTATAAAGAAGCTTCAGCGCTACCAGAGACTGGCATGTATGGCTGCCACAGGCTGCATAAGGACTACGCCAACAGCAGCCTTAGAAGCAATGCTAGAGCTAACCCCGCTTCATTTACATATACAACAAGAAGCGACTTCAGCTGCCATCAGACTCTAAATCTTTGTAGTAAGAATAGTGTCCCTCATACAGGCATAATTGATAGAATTCACTCAAAAATTCCTATCTTACAAGCCAAGTAGGATAAGATTCCTAAACAATTTGTATTCGATAAGAAGTATAAGATACAATTAAATGAAACCAGCCAGCCGGAAGCATTAAGCCCAAAAGAGCTTAGAGTTTTCACCGATGGTTCTAAAACAAATGAAGG